AGGCTTTTGGTGCAACGTGCATATAGTTTTTTCTGAATAGTTTGTTTTTCAAGAGGATGTTTTTCTTGCAGCTTTGAACAACATATTTTGCAGATTAAGTAATAACACATTTTGTTTCAGGTCTCAATTGTAAAATCAAACAAAGGGGAGAGTATAACTTCTTTCCCCTCTTGTTTCCTGTAAAAAAATTGTTTTACATATTCCGCAGAGTTATTTTGGTACCCGAGAATCACTAATATTGATCTTTATCTTGTTTAGTTACCATAAATAGAATTTTATGATCAATTGTATTTTGACTTATCAAAAGTCTTTAATACAATTGATCATAAAGTTCTATTTAAAAAATTAGAGTATTATGGAATCAAACATTTTAATGCTTCTTATAAGTTATTTAAGCATTTATTTACAGTGCTGTAATATTAATTCAACTGTTTTTTCCGATTTATTAGATTTATTTGTGGAGTCTCTCAGGGCTCTATAATAGGACACCTTCTCTTTCTCATTTACATTAATGGTCTCCCTAAAGCCACTAACTTAATGATTGTCATGTTTGCTGACAATACTAATCTCTTTTTATCTCGTAAATACATTACAACATTCTTTTAAAATATAAACATTAAATTAACAAAAAATTTTTACTGGTATACAATGAATAAATTATCGCTTATAGTTTATGAGACAAAATAAAAACGTTTACATCCAACTTCTTCAAAAGAAATTCCTTAATAAAATACCCTTTTCTATAGGATAAAACCTTAGCTGGAAATATGACATCAAATTTTTGTGTAATAAAATTGATAAAAATATAGGATTAATGCATAAAGCAAAAAATACTTTAAATAAACACACTTTAACATATTTATTTTTTATTTATTGCCATTTAAATTACCCAAACATTTCCTGAATTAATCTATATTATAACCACTTTTTCGTCAGCAGAAGCATGTTGCTTGTCTAATCAATTTTAAAGACGGATTTGCTTATTCAAAGTCTCTTATTTAAAATGTTTTTAACATACTTTGTTTTATGTACAAATGTAAAAACTAACGTATCTTCTATTTCTTTTCATAATTAATATGTGTCTTAAAAGATAAAAGTAAATACAACTTAAGAAATTATAATTTAATTCAACAATTTTTTTTCAAACTAATTTTGGAAAGTCAAGTATATAATTTTGAGGAGCTTTTTTTTGGAACAGAATAGTTTTGAAAAACCTTGATTTTTCATTCGAATTGAGTTACCCTTTACTCAAAAAATAAATAAGAGAAATCATTTTATTAACCGAGATATGTTTTATATTTTTAACACATTATGTCAAATGAATTCTTAATACCAATATATTATACAACATATAATAGTATATCGGATTCTCATCTTGAAATTTTATAATAATAGTATTTTAAAAAGTATTTTTAGGTAAACAAGTTTTTTTTATATAAATTTACGAGATTTTGATTCTTAATGTTTTCTATAGTTTTTCATTACACATTATTTATACTTTATTTTTTAAAAAGTCTATCATGCAAACAATTGCTGTTATTATAATATGATTATTTATCAATTTTTAGTTAAGTTGTAAAGCAAAAAATAATTAGGAAAAAAATAATAATAATTAATAAAAAATGATAATATATGTGTGTATTTATTTATATATGTACGTATATCGCGAGGTTAGAATTATTTTGTTCTATCTCCACATTTTTTTGTTTCGAGATAAAACGATTTAAAAAAGAAAAACTTTAGGAGACGGCATATAAAAAGATTTTTATTACTTATGTTTTCTTCAAAACTTTATTTTTAACTTAGGTTTTAATATAGTAGAAAAACATTATTTTGAGGTACATTACACAATTAATAACTCATTTTTTTCAAAAAGTGGAGATAGAACAAAATAATTCTAACCTCGCGATATGTCAATGTGTACGTGTATATGTATTTGTATATGTTTTAGTTTCCTTGTACGTAAAAGTGTATTTGTATATTTGAATTTAAGTATGTTTAAATATGTGTATGTATTATAATTTTTTAACTAACTTGTTTTTCTGTCTTAATAACCAACTTGTTTGTACATTTTACTAAGTCGAAAAACGTAGGATTGACAAAAAAACTATTTTGGTACACGAAGAATTATTTATTGATGAATTAAAATGTATAATAACAATAATGAATCAAAAGTGGATAAAAGAAATATTGCGTAGTCTTTGAAGTGAAAGTTTAGTTCAATTCTAACAGACACTTTTAAAGAACTGGCAAGAAAAAAAAGTAAATTAAAAGTGGCCAAAATGACAGTAAAGCTATTCGAGGAGCCTATTTATCTGCGCGAGATTATATAATATCAAAAATGTTTAACCACAAAGTAGAACAAGTAAATAACAAAATGTCTAATATACAAAAAGAAAATTAAAACTTCAAAATTGAAGTGCACCAACTATAAAAAAAGATGAAGTTTCTATCCAAAAAATATAAAAATCTAACGAGGATTGACCTCTATTAATTAAAAGTATATAAAAAAAAGAAGAAAAGATACGTGCCGAAAAACTATTGGAACATTTATTTTCTTGAATCAAATTCTTATAACTTAATAAGATAAACTCAATCATTAGATTAATCTAAGCACCCCAAACGCCTTAAACACTCAAAATAAGCCTGATATTAAAAAAAATTTGTTTCAAGTCCTCATATTTCTCTTCAACAAAATTATTTGTTATATTTATTTGTAACTAGAAAATTATTTTAATAACTTTCTTCGAATTTGCTCAATCATTTTTTTTTTTTTTATTGATTTACTTTGACATTTGTATATTTTTCTAAGGTCAGCTAGGTTGGCATTATCGAGATCCGTGCTAACTGTGCATACATTATAGAAGATTTTTTTAGATGATTTATCATGCATATCATTAATGTATATCAATGATAAGCGGAACAAAAAGATAGATTATAATTTTTAACTTTAAATTTAAAGATATTTACAGTAATGGATATATCAAATTAGTTATAACAATTTTAATCCAGAGATTTGGCGCCTAATATGTAATAAAAAATTTGTTAAACTTTGTTCTTTAAATTTCTTCGTATACAAAGTTGTTATTTCTAAGTAAATATTTAATTAAAAAAAAGGTCTTTAAAAATGAGTTAAATTAAATTGTATTCCAAACGTATGTAAAGCATTAATCATCTTTTTTCTAAATGTATGTAAAGCGCCTTTTAGAATTTTTTACTTCTAAATTTGTCTAAAAATAAATTTGCTAACTCTTGATTTCTTATGTAAACATAAACTTTTATATACATATTATTATTCACTTTTTGCATGTACTGTAACATTATTCGTGTCAGATCTACACGAATATACCGAATATACTGCTGCTGGTCATTTCAGCAGACAAAATCAGACTTGACCTTTATAAAATAATTTTGCCTTTTAAATAAAGCATTAATTACATTCATAAAAAAGTAAATCAAAAACTTTTTTTTTGAGATGTAAACGTATTTGAATTAAAACTAATATTAATTTTTTATTATGTTATATTATACATTCACAGTTTTTATGTGTTTATTTGTATATATTTTCTTAATATTACAGTTTACCACATTAATGGTATTTTTAATTTCATATAAGTCATTAATTTTTTTAATAATAATCTTGAACAGCAGCTGTGTTAAATAAAAGTATAACAACAACAACAACAACAACAACAACAACAAAAACAACAACAACAACAACAACAACAAGAACAAGAACAAGAACAACAACAACTTCTACTACTACTACTACTACTACTACTACTACTACTACTACTACTACTACTACTACTACTACTACTACTACTACTACTACTACTACTAGTACTACTACTACATTATTGCATCATTGAAACATAGAATAAAAAATAACGGGCTTTTATTAAAAAATTACCTTTTAAACCACTAAATTTATGACAATCTTCTTGATTTGATGCCATTTAGCTTAGAAAAGTAGTTGTGCTAAAAAAAGATAAAAAGTTTTAATGAATGTTATAAAAATAGTTTTAAAAAACTAACATCAATAAAAACGGTAAATATTACATAATATTAACACAAACTAAAAGATATTTCTTATACGAAAATCTTCACATACAATTAGATATGTATACGAAAAACTTTAAAGCTGTATTTATATGCACACACTTTTTTAACATATTAGTTTATTTGAAATAAACGTTTGAATTTTAAAAATGGAATTAAATAAAGTACTTAATATCTGAAAGGAAAACCTTGTTTATTTAGATATTTTAATTTGTCAAAAATACAATGTATGTTTGATTTTTTTATAAAACAACGATAAACATGTTTCCCATTATAGGTGAAAAACTTATGATGAACTTCAATTAAAAATAATGTAAGTCACATTTTTAAAAAGCACGTGAAATGATTTACTAAGATTAATAGTTCGTTATTGACATTATGTAAAATAATGAGTTAAAAATCATCATTTTTTGAACTGACTTAATGTTATAACCCAGCAAACATGTCAGCGTTGAATCAACGTTGAAAACCGGTCGCAAAAGATGTTGCGGAAACGTTGACAAAGTAATTGATTTTGCAAAGATATGTAACGTTGTTAAAGAGGCGTTGATTAAACGTTGTAGCGTAACGTTGAAAAATCGTTACTAAAAGACGTTACAAAAATGTCGCAACTAAACGTTGAAAAAGCGTTACTTAAAAAGCGTTGCATTGGCGTCGCAACCTAACGTTGAAAAAACGTTACTTGAAAAGCGTTACTTTAACATTGTTAAAGCAGTTGATTTTGCAAGGATTTGTAACGTTGGTAGTAAAACGTCGATTTAACGTGACTCAAAGACGTCGAGTAAAGTTGAAATATAACGTTAAATCAACGGTCAAATGCGCTGGAGAAAATATCACAAAATATTATTAAACGTGATTAAACTTGGCTATAATGTATATTGAATTTGCAAATAAAACAAAATTGTATGTTGAACTCTGCACTTGCAATATTTCCAAAGTCGATTTTTAATAAAAATAGTAATATACAATGAAAAACATAAAAAATATACATTTTATTTATATAAAGTTTACAATTTATAGATAAAAATATAAACATCTTTATTAAGATTTATGTGTGTGAGTAAATTTACAGGATTTACGTGTGTGGGTAAAATTTATGTGTGTGAGTGGATACAGGATATCGTATGTGGGTAAAATTTATGTGTGTGAGTGGATACAGGATATCGTATAGATAAGCCAGGATAACATTGAGATACAGAATCTAAATCAAAAAATAAAAATTGTATCATTATCAATTTGAGAGCAAATGTTTAAAAAATGTTATTAAATTAATATGATCATTATTAAATTTAAAAAGTAAAAATAAATATATATATATAATATATATAATATATATATATATATATATATATATTATATATATATATATATATATATATATATATATATATATATAATATATATATACATATAAATAATTATATATATATATATATATATAATATATATATATATAATATATATATATTATATATATATATATATTATATATATATATATTATATATATATACATATAATATATATATATATAATATATATATATAATATACCCGGCCCTAGCCGGGGCTAGGGCCGGGTTTGAGACCAGGCTGCATAAACATTTATACATCCTAAAGCATTTTTTTTAATTTAAAATTCATGTTATATTTTGTATATATATGCATATATGAACATCATTGTGATAAACATGATCATCATAATCATCATAATCATCACCATCATCATCATCATCATCATCATCATCATCATCATCATCATCATCATAACCATCATCATCATCATTATCATCAACAGCATAAAAGCGGAAAGCTTGACAATGATAATAAAAATTATGTTGATGTTGTTGATCGCTATCATGATAATCATCATCATCATTATAGCACAATGTAAGGCACACTCTTCAAGTTTTCTTACTTCTACCACAACCATTTTATACTGAAGCTGCTACCACTCTACATGTTAATACCTGAAATACTTTAACTTTTTCTGAAAAAAAAGGTTGTTTGATACGACGTTTTTTCTAATCTGTCTAAGATTATGCCTATTTTTTATATCTTGTTAGAGTCATACCACACATCCACCTGATCATTTTCTCTTTCGGCAAATACTACGCCATATAAATACTAAAGTTTATACAACAATGAAAGGATATTGTATGTCAGCATCTAAACAAATAGCAAACAGATATGCTTATATCCATAATATGTGTGCAAAAAGTGCATCTTGGAAGCTATATTGCTTCTGGAATAAAAGTTTGGAAGCTTTTATTACTTCTCTTCAGTTTTAAATCAAGCCTCATTCTATTCTACATCTTTCAACATTAATTACGTTTTTCAGCTTTTTTATAAGAATATCTCTCTTAAGAAAAAATTGTCCTTTTTATTATTGCAATAAGCTAATGTATAAATAAAGTCTTGTATGATGTAAATCTCTGTTATTCTCAGTTTACTAAACCTTGTATCTTATCTTAGATGTTGATTCTAGAGACTTTGGTAAGTTTTCAACAGTGTTATTAACTAAAGTAAGTCTAACGTTTAATCTCTAACTTATGGGTCTCATCTTTTTACTTTACCCCAGAGTAAAACAGAGCTATTTACAAGGAAATCTTACTCTAGTTTGACTCTGGAATATAACAACCATTCTCTTCCTGACAGTAAAATATTTTTGCTAAACTTTAAATTAATCCATTGTTAATCATCGAAACTACTCTAGCTTCCAATACTAAAACTAATTCTCAATTAAATACTTCTACAATGTGTGCTTCAGAAAAGATTTCCATCATAGTCTTAAGAAAGTGTTTTCCAGAACTACCTACAATTTTTGCTAAACTTTAAAAAAGTGCTAAATACGTGGTTCCAATTTTTCAAATCTCTTGAAAACACTTTGACCTCTCCAAGTATCCTACGATTCTTCTTTATTTTGTTATTAGTTTCTTATAACTTTCTATGATAAGCTTTTGAGGTAATTAAATTACTTCTTTCTAACTACAGTAGTGAAGTTATTCTTGAAGACCTACCCTCTTTATTTCAAGTAACTTTAAGGTTTTATATTTGTTCCTGTATTTATATATAATATTTTTTATCTACAATAACAATCATAATGAAATCTAATGTCCACTGACTGAGCTGAAATTTATTCTGTATAGATATACTTTTATATATTTATGTTTGTGTTGAGCAACTTTTAACAATCTTTAACCATTTTTCTTAACTTTTAAAATAAAAACAATTTAAAAAGTTAGAAGCTTGCTGTATTTTAAGTTACTAATGAGGAAAAGAAAGTTTTTAAATTATTTTTTAATGCAGGTTGGAGATAAATTTCTTTTCAAAATTCAGAAAACTCCTGCCAAATAGGAGAGACTTCATCGGTCTGTATACAGATACTTAATAAAACTAGTATACAAACTCTTAATAAAATAATAAATAAATGTTAAACTATATAAATATTAAATTCCTCATAAAATATTAAACTCTTAATGTATGTATGTTAACAGACAGTCTGTTATTAAGTCTGTTACAGACTTAATTTAGTCTGACTTATTATGTTTTATTAATTTTGATAATATTTTATAAATGTGAACCGTATTAAAACTAACTACTATTTCTAACTAAGAAATAAATATTTAAAAAAGTTGAGCATTTTATTAAAATCGTCAACTTAAAACAAAATAAAACGTTAACAAAAATAAGCAGAATAAATCGAATTTACCCTGAGATTTATGTACTTCCAAATAGTTTAAATTCAAATAGTTTTTCAAATAGTTTAAATTCGTTAAAAAAGAAGCTAATGTCTAACGAAAAAGCAGCTAATGTCTAACGTTGATAAACCATTACCTTTGCAACGTTTTTACAGTGATTATTTGCGTACTTATTTTCAACGTTTAATAAACGCATTTTTTTGAGAAGATAAGATACGTTTAAATTTATACGCTTATTCAACGTTGAAAATGTAACGTTTAAAAAGCGGTTTGTTTTTAACGTTGATAAAGAATATACTTCGAAACGTTTTTAAAGTGGCTTTTTGCGTAAGTTGATTCCACGTTGAATAAACGTTTTATTTTGAGAGGCTAATTTACGTTACAATTTCAACGCTTATTCAACGTTTCAATTTACCGCGATTTAGTATACAAAAACAGACATTGATTCAACGGTGAAAGCACGTTGTTTTTCTGACTGTAACGCTTTTTCTACGCTGCGACTGGTTTTCAACGTTGATTCAACGCTTACATGTTTGCTGGGAAGGGTTAAAAAATATATTAAGGATGTTATAAAAGAAAGCAGTAAATTAGCGTAAATTTTTACGTAATAATTAACGGCTTTCATCTAATTAAAACGCTACTCAATTTTTTGTGATTTTATATTATTATAATTACACATGAAAGAATTTGTGGTTCAAAAAATTTGATGTTGAAATATAGAATTATTTATTTTTCGTTAAGAAAAATGTATTAGCTATTAGCTATAAATCGGTTCAATTTTTTTGACTTTTGACATTTAAAAACACCATTTTCGTGTATTTTGAGGATGCTCAAAATACCCAGTATTTTTTTTTTTTTTAGTTTAAAGTCTAAAAATTTATTTAGTTAAAACTCTAAAAATTGCGTTGGTTTTAATTGGTTTTTGAATAAAAGCAAAATAAAGGAAACTTTTTTAATTTTTTAAAAATATTAGGTTTAACTTTCTTTAACTTAAATTCATAAAATTTATGTTTTTAATGTTTTATAGTTTGAGTTAGTAAAATTAAAAAATAAGAAATTGATTTTATTTTTTTGCTGTTAGCAAAGTCCCAGTAAGCACAGGACGTTTTTAAAACGTTTTAATTCCGTTCAATTTACGGTCGGACGTTAAAAGAACCAATACAATCGTTTTTAAAACGTTTTTTTGCAAACGTTTTTTTTAATGTTAATTTAAACGTTTTTTTTAGCGTTTTTTAAACGTTTTATTTTTTTTATTAACTTACGGTTAGCTTATGAACGTTTTTAAAACGTTTTTTTTAACGTGATAAAAAAACTTTTTTTAAACGTAATATTTAAACGGCAATATTTAAAAGAGTATGTTTACGCAAATAATGGCGTGACCTTCGATTAGGCGAATTGATTTATTTAAGTAAAAATATATAAATTAGTATATATTTAAATCAACCAAGTGTTTGTATTGTTCTTTTGTAGAATTAAATTTGAAAATATATTGGAGTATTTTTAGTTTAAAGTTGTATGCCTTCGTTGAAACTTGGTTGTGTTTGTATTTCTACTTGAATCAAGTAGATATGATTAATAAAGTTTTAATGGTGTGGTTAGCTAGATTATTTTACTCTAATAAGTAACTTAATTGTTAAGTAAACTTGAATGCTTAAAAAAACTAGATTAAGTTTTTAATTCTACTTAATTATCAACTGCTTTTAACGCAAAAAAATCTATTTGGATTTGAAAAAAGGGAACAACATTCTCAGACTTTTTCTTCTTTAACTCTAAAAATTAAAAATAATATCAGTGGTTTTTAAAAAAGGAATTACTATAGTTAAAAAAGGCTGAAAGGAAAAAATATAATGATTTGTTTCAAGAAAGGGAGTGACTTACTTCAAAATGTCATTTTAAAATTTTTATTCTTTAATGATATTCTGGTGTTATTACCAAATGTTTAGCAGTATGAAACCTATAATATTATATACCATACTATATACCCTATTTTACTTATAAAGTTAATAATCTGTAAAGTAATTTGTAAAAATTTTTTAATTGTAAAATTGCTACATGAGAAGACAAGTTGTTAGATGAAATTCAAATATTCTCTATGTTTGTGTTGTGTAGGTCAAAAAATAATAAACAAAGATGATATTGATTGTGATGACCAAGAGATTCATTTTAAGACACATCAATCTTCATCATCTTTAAATAAAAAGGATAAACATTATGGATTTCCATTATCTCAAGCAAGTAA